TAATCTAAAAATGTATTGGTTAATGATCTTTTAAAATAAAATTCCTTTAATAACCTTCAAGAATATATTAGTTAATGATCATTTAAATATATGAATTAATGTTGATAAACTGACATTTTATATATTGGGAAATGGTTAAAAAATAACAATATTAGGCTATTTGGGGCATCCCCAATCTGTGGATCCGATCCGATCCGTTATCCCATAAATTGATGGTGGATTCAGATTTTTCCAATCCATTGGGACCGGATTGAATTAGGATTGATGCCTAATCCAATCCGATCGAATCTGTGGTCACCCCTAGTTTTCGTGATCATTGATTGTCAAACTGATATACTTAAAACACCTTTAGATTTGTACGCTAGAAAAAATACAGAAAATGTGATCAAATTTGAAATTAAATTTGCTGAGAAATTAATAAGGAAATAAACTTATGATAAATGCTTAAATGTTGCACATTTCAGCACCTAAGTTAGGGTATTTCAGTCTTTGCATCTATCTTACTTTCATGTTTTAGTCCTAATTTATATTTATGTGTATTTTAGGGCAATAAAGTTCAAACAGGTTTAAATCGGTCCATTACCGCATTTTTGGAGATAAATAGAAAGTTCCAGAACACATCAGGACAAATTCAAAAGGAAGCAGGAAAATGTAGTAAACACTGCATTGTGTCCGGACGCCAAATCCTGCGTCCGGACGCAAGTCCACATTGCATTGCATCCGAATGCCAAAAGTTGTGTCTGGACGCCAGTCTTACTGGCAGCAATTTAAGATACGAGATTGACCTGTTTTTATGGCTGCAGGTTTGACATGTTTGGGCTTATTTTTGTAACATATTGGCTCTAATAGAGTTTGTATTAAAGGGAAAACAAGGACCCATAAGAAAAGGAGTTATTATTATTATTTTAATTAGTTTTTAAATAAGATCGATATATCGTTCTCTCTGAAAAAGAGGCGAAAAGGAGAAAAAGAATAAGAGATTAGGGTTAGAAGAAAGAAAAGAGTGGAGGCACAAGGGTTTCAAGAACATCTACACACTCATCTCTCTTGGGCATCAAAGAAGAAGAAGAAGGAGCAAAGCATGGAGGAGGATCTTGTTGACACCTTGACTACCACAATCATGATGGGCTAGCTCTCCACTTAGGGTTTGGTTAAGCCCTAAGTCTCTTGTAATCTAAACCTTTGCAATTTTTATTTTTGGGGAGATTAATATATTGTTGTAGTTGATGTTATGGCCTTGTGATTCCTATTTACATGCTTGATTTGACAAATCATGGCTTGTGTTGGTTTAATTCTTCCATTAACTCTACATGTTGATTACATGTCTATGTGTAATTAATCTAGGGTTATGCTTTTGATTAGATGTTAAAGATTAATTCTTTCATTAATTCTTTATGTTAATTGCATGTCTATGTGTGATTAGAGGATTATACTCAACACTAGATTCCATTGTTATTTGGGTTTAGTGATGGCCATGGCATGGTTTTTATTGGATGGGATTGTTGATTAATTTGATGTGTTATACTTTATCTTGATGGGTTGTGCTACAAATTAGTTTACTTCTCATTAGGTAGACAATCTATGCTTGAATTGATAATCTACACTTATTATATGCAAATTCCATTATCCTCTTCATTAATGTATGCTCTTTATAAATGCAATTGTGGTTAGTTTGATGGAGTATGCTTAGGCTCGATGGGTTGTTCTACACCCTAGTTTACATGTCATTAGGTAGACAATTCATTCTTGCATTTGATAATTCATGTATACTTGATTGCAAGTTGTTTTAGTGATTGAAGCTACATTTAAATTGCAATAATGTTCTCCCCATTAATGGAAAGCAAGTGGTTAATTGCATGAGCTTAGTGGTGATTCCAACAAACCCTAAGAATTCTCTTCTAGCTCTTAAAACCCTAACTCTAACTTAGTTTATGTTCATTGCATTTTAATTTAATTGTCCACTAGCTTAATCAACCAACCATCTCTTTTATTCTCTCTCTTATGGTAATCACTTGTTAAAACCAATTGTCTTATTTAAATCCAAGCCAAAGGTATCTTGGGTTCGATCCCTACTCACTATATACTTCATTATAGTAGAGTAGTGGTTTTTATAAATGTAAATTTGACTCTTTGATAATTCTTTCAAAAAGGGTTTTCCTAAACCACACCTTCAAATATCTCATTTTTATTAAAGGAAAAACGACCCCACAAAAGGGCTTGATCAACTTAGATGTCAATAATGTGAAATTTGATATGTTGCAGTGGGAAGCATATGTTTATGATCCACCAAATCAGATATGTAAGAACTTTTCAAAGAACAACCTCAGTCAGTATGAAATTAGATTACACAGCAATAACCGTAGAATAAATAAATTTTTATCCATTGTATGATAGTAGATAGATGTTTTCAGCTTTCTCCTGCCATCATCACACATGTATTCAAACTTCTAGTGTGAAAATTTTGTTGCAGGGTTCTTTGTAGGTATTAATTATTTTGGCTGGACTTGCGAGAGGTTAGATTTACCAGGTCAGAGGATTATTAAACAGGTTCCTTTCTTGCTCTGTGGTTTCCCTTACATGCAGCCTCCTCTGAATGAGCTTCATGGATAGACTATAGACCGTGCGATGGTGAAAGAGATATAGACACAGAATAGCAAACAAGGGTGTGTTCGTTCGCCGCCATCATCGCAGACATGAATATACCAATGATGTGTTATTAGTTTCATTTGTATTCTTCATCATCCGGGACATGAATATACAAATGTTGTGTTATTAGTTTCACTTGTATTCTTAATCTTTATTTATTTATTTGTTTATTTATTATTATTATTATTATTATTTTTGTATAAACATAAAAATGAAGTAGAATTTTTGTATACGACTGTTATTGATTGGTTCGGATAAGAGGGTACTCTCATGTCATGTTGTCATTCCATTGTATGTGGAGCGTTTCATATTCTTATAATCAATGAATAATGTGTTTTATGATGTCATAAGAATTGTTTTACATTTGTTTTGGAAGGGAAAATTATATATAAATGGAGTCAAAGTTCCATATTTACTTAGAGGCTGAGTCAAAGTTCCATATTTCTCTAAAATGGATTGCTGAGGTGGCACATGGTTTTTTACTGTTTAAAAATTGTGGTGCCTAAAATACCCTTCCGCGAAGGTACTACTTTTTCTTCGAAGGTACTACTTTTTTGAACTGAAGTACTACTTTTTAGTGTCCAGGTACCATGTTTTTTAAACACCCGCGAAGGTACTACTTTTTCTTCGAAGGTACTACTTTTTTGAACTGAAGGTACTACTTTTTTGAACTGAAGGTACTACTTTTTTGTTAGGGAAGGGCATTTTAGGCACCATAATTTTCTAAACAGTAAAAAACCATGTGCCACCTCAGCAATCCATTTTAGAGAAATATGGAACTTTGACTCAGTCTCTAAGTAAATATGAAACTTTAACTCCATTTATATGTAATTTTCCCTTTGTTGGAATGTATTATAATCCATGAATTGCTACTAAAGTGAAAAAGAAATTAATAATATAAGATGTTTATTTAACTTATATGAACCCCAAATTTTTTTTTTTCCCCCTGATAGATGAAAACCCATTTGAAAATGGTCAGATACTAAAATGACATATAAATGAAAATATGGAATTTACCAACCGGGTATATATTCGTCACTTAAGTGGGGTTGAAAACAGAGTTAATGTATAACAATGAAATAAATTATTAAATTTTTATGGTTTATATTTTATAGCTATTAACTTGCAAAATTTTAACTTTTAATTTTGCTTTGCAAATACGTTGATGAACATATTTTTAAGTATGATTTTTCTATAGTTTTCATACTAAATTTATTTATTTATTTAAGGTGACTCATTCAAAAGTTGCACCCTTATAACAAAAAGTTAATTATTTTATCACCTCAATGAAAATATGAAGAAAAAAAAAATGTTGTAATTTGAGAAACAGTGCCCATGAGAAGAAATGCTGAACATAAACCTAAATCCGGCCTAGGAGGAGAAATGTTGAACATAAACCTAACCTGGTAGTGTTGAACAATCACATCAATGAAATAAAAAAAAAAGGTGCACTCACTTATAAATTAAGCTCAGAATAATAATAAAGTGATAAAATTATTTGTGAGCGACTGTAGTTATCCGAAGTTTACCTTACCGTCATAAATCTAAAAAATTGGTAACGGAAAAGTTTCGATTCAAAATAAAAAAATCCTAAACATCGAGGAATCATGAGGTTCGTAATGAATTGAAAATGAATACATTTAATTGTATGCTAACACTTGTGGGTTTGGGAAAACATTTTCAAAAAGTTCCTTATGATGATTAAATATGTATTAGTAAATTTACAAGGTTTAAAAAAAATTATTTACTTTTGATATATATATAAAGGAAAAAAAAAAAGTTATTTCTACAAAAAGATAAACAGATTTAAAAATAAAAAAAATAAAAAAAATGAAAGTAAAAACCCATCACCGCAATTAAAAAAAGATTTATCTACTTTGGATGAGTATATATAAAGAAGGGTAAAAAAAACGATTTACTTTTATCAAAAGAGAAACATAAAATTTTTAAAAACTAAAAGGAAAAAGAAAAGACCTATTATTGTTCTAAGAAAAAAACCTCCATTACCATAATCATAATTAATAAACCATCTCTTTCTCGGTTCAAAATCCCAATTTAAGGATTTTGATTATAATACGTGCTTAGGGTCCAAACGAAGAATCTCATAAATCAAACTCTAAGATCGAATCCACTCAATGCATCATTAGTGAGATCGAAGTGCCACTAATGAGCAACACTTCGATTTTCTCTCTCTAGGGTAATCAAACACCAAAAAAGAACAAAAAAATATTTTTTATGCCCAAATAAACAGAGGATTCCAAAAATAACCATGAACACCCTACTTTATGCCCCAAACAAGTCCCTAAGAATAGATTCACTTGCAAATTTTTCACTTGTAATTTTGCTTTTTTAAATATGTCAATGAACATATTTTCATACAATTAATTTTTTATAATTTTCATACAATTAATTTAAATGTAATATTACATTATTTTATAATATACCTATGAAACAATTAACGTTCTTTATTTTCGAAAAAGAATTAACGGTCGAAAAAAGAATTAAAGGTTGAAAAAAAAAAAAAAAAAAAAATGCCCTAATTCAATCATCTCTTTCCTGCTGCGAGTATCTCTTTCTGCTCTAACTGGGTTTCAATTCTTTTTCTGCTCTAACTGGGATTCTATATCTGTGTGTAGTGTATATGTGTTATTTCTTAGACGTACACAAGATGTGGCGATTTCATGATCAAATAGGTACAAGGAAGCGTTCGCGCGAAGACGTAAGTGGTGATTTTTTTGTTCTTGTATTTCTTATTCTTTCTAGCAATCCTGAATTGTGATACAGGGCGTTATTGTTTGTACTCTTTTTTATTTTCATATTTATTGTGTTTATGTTCCAATATGATTCTGGGTTTCTGTTTTTCTGGAAAATTTACTGGTTCTTTCATATACTTTGTTCGTATTTCTTTAAATATCATTGTCCTGTTATTTAGGGTTTCTGTCCCCAAATTTCTATTGATTCCTCAAATTATAAATTACACATTAATCCATGTCCCTATAGATTTGTTTAGGTCGAGTTTCCTGTTTGGTAATCTAGAGAAACACATTTAATGTCTATTTTTTGGTTTTTTTATTTGAATTATAAGTAAAACTGTTGAATCTTAGTAGTTCTTTCTGTTTATGGTGAGAAAGTTTTCAGATTATGGATATTTGATGGTACCCATTTGTTTATTTATTTTTTTTTTTTGTTTTTGCTTGTCCTTCCTCCCTTAGTTTGGTTGCTATAGGAAGCAAGGAAAAGAGATGGAAAAATGTATTATGTCATATGGTCTATATTGTCTTGTATCACAAAATCAAATAAGTAGTTGGGTTGAGGTTTTAACTTTTAGGTTCCACATAATGAAATTATTAAATTTCAAAGCAAAATCAATTCCTCCCCCCAACACACACACACACACACACTTTATCTACCTTTTCTCGTTGAGTAGACAAGCTTTCCTTTGCTTCTGAATTTTGATTTATATATCTGGTTTATTAATTCCCAATTGTTTACTTGAATCGTAGCTCGTTTATTAGATTCTCCTTCAACTTCATACTGAATTTTGTTTCTTTTGAAGTGGCAGTTTGATAGGTTCATCCCCAACCGGTCTGCAATGGATTTTGACTTTGCACATTACATGCTGAATGGTGGGAAGGTAAGAAAGGATAACTCTGAACGGTGCTCTCCATTCAAACAAGCTTACAGGAAGCAGCTTGCAGAGATCTTCAACATGAACAGAACAAGGATACTTGCTTTTAAGAATAAACCGCCACCTTCAGTAGGCGGTTTTCAAGATCTGTACTCATCTGTTCACCAACTGAAACCCACCAAGTCTAGGAGACATATTCCCCAAGTGGGTTTTCATTCATTCTTTCTTTTCTTTTTCCCCCCATCAATGAGCTTTTTCCCTGTGACTGAACATCTACAGTTTTTTTTTTTTTTTTTTTCACTCTTTTGTTTCCCTTTTTTGTTTTTCGCATTTTTTGATTACTTCTTCTGGATTGTTTATTTTCTTATGATGTGTCTTGTTTGATGATTATAACAGTCTTCAGAAAATATTCTTTATGCTCCTGAGCTCCTAGATGACTACGCGAATTTACTGGATTGGGGTAGCAGCAACATTGTTGCTATCGGTCTTGGGAATTCAGTATATTTGTGGCATGTCGCTGATGACTCTGTTTCTGAACTTGTTTCCTTTGCTGAGGAGATTGGGCCTGTGACAAGTGTCAAGTGGGCACCAGATGGAAGACGCCTTGCTGTTGGCTTGAATAATTCCTATGTTGAGGTGTGGGACGCTTTGGCTAGTAGGATGGTAGGTGCTTTTATATCAAATTTGCTATTTAGTAATTTTTTTTTTTTTTTGGGGTCAATATATGATGCTTTTCTTTTGTTGGATGGGTTATTATAGATAATAAGAAGACGGATTGTGAAAAGGTGCACCCAAGGGACTCTTTTTTTTTTTTTTTTTTTTTTTTTTCATGACATTTAGGCAATGAACAAAGACTTAGTTTTTGTGAGATTTTCTGAATGCACTTTCTGTGGAAAAAATAAAAGAAAATATATAGCTCTACATGTGAAGCCACTTGCACCTTTTATGCCTTATTTGACGATGTCTGGTATCATCATGTAATTGTCTTAGCGTACTGATGTAATATGAAGTTAAGTGGTAGTAAGTAAACTGCAAGGTTTAATAAGGCATTATATTATTATATTGATGCAAAGCATCAAATAAATTGCATGTTTAATCATTCTAGAAACCAATATCCTACAAGTTCTGTAATTTATTTTAGAGAGCAGTGGAATACATGTATTTTAAGATGGCACTTTTCTCATGCTCCAGGCATTAGTTTTGAAAGTTGTGTGGAGGCAATTCTACAACTAATTTGTTTGGTTTTTCTGAACAGTTGAGGAGACTGCGAGATGGACACACGTTAAGGGTTGGTTCGCTTGATTGGAACAATAACATCCTGACAACTGGGGGACTGGACAGTTTGATCGTAAACAACGATTTAAGAATAAGATCACACATTATTGGAACATATAAGGGTCACAGTCAAGAGGTTTGTGGACTGACATGGTCTGCATCAGGCCAGCAACTAGCAAGTGGAGGGAATGATAACTTGGTCTACATATGGCACAGCTCAATGGCCTCTAGAAATTCTTCCAATCAATGGCTTCACCGCCTGGAAGACCACACAGCTGCTGTCAAAGCTCTCTCTTGGTGTCCTTTCAACAGTTATCTGCTTGCCTCTGGTGGTGGTGCCGGGGATCAGTGCATAAAGTTTTGGAACACCAACACTGGAGTACGGTTGAACTCCATGAATACAGGGTCACAGGTCTGTTGCTTGCTCTGGAGCAAACATGAGCGTGAGCTTTTGAGTTCTCATGGCCTCAATGACAACCAACTCACCCTTTGGAAGTACCCTTCTATGGTCAAGATTACAGAGCTTTATGGTCATACGTCAAGAGTTCTCTACATGGCTCAGGTATCTATCATTCATGGGTTATTTATAAATAAATTTGTTTAATTTGCTTTCTTTGAATTGGAAAGAGATTATATAGTTGTGTCATTGTTTTATTGAATAATTGGATTTTCTATTTTTCCCCTCACCCCTCTTCTTGGATATATTACAGAGTCCAGATGGGTATACGGTTGCATCTGGTGCATCAGATGAGACATTAAGAATATGGAATGTGTTTGGGACTCCTGAATTGGCCAAGTCTGCACTGAAAACAAAGTCAGAGCCTTTTGCTGACTTTGCTCGCATCAGATGAAGAGTTTGGTGGATGAAATGGGTGGTGATTAAAATACGTATTCCTCAGTTTTGCTTCATTGGGCCATGACAAAGAAATTAGCTTTTGACTTTTCTTGAGGTATGACGAATGTCTTTGCATTTAAATTTTAAGGTTGAACTAAGGGTGTTTTCTAAAACCAACCTTCTAAGAGACATTACAGCCACACCAATGACCTTCCCCATACGATTTCCCTGAAAGAAAAGTAGCCTTGATATACATGCCGAGGCATGTGGCATGATTAGAATTTATCCGTTTCAATTGTCAACATGGTTGAGAAGCATGTCTTATTGTAGGAAATTTGTTCTGTGATAATGCTTGGAGTATAAGAATTTGATTTGAGAGTTAAAAATTAACATTTACTTTATTAACAATTCTTCAATGGTTTCCAATTGCATCCGATTTTGTGACATCCTCTTCTCCTTATTTACCCTTTGATATGCTTGTATTTTTGCAGATCATGTTGTGTATATGCACATCAACCTTCCGCCATTTTTAAGTTGCTGCGAAGTGTTTGATGAGCCTGGTGGTGCTTTCTAGCATTGTTGGCATCCACGCCTCATGTCGTTGACTACGTGAATTATACAGAAGATCAATTTTTTAGGGAACACACGCACACAGAGAAACATGTATATTTGACAATTGTAATATATATATATATATCATACATTATCGAATTCAAGCTCAAAATTCGAAAATAAATAAAGTTACAATATTTGTTAGCCACTGACTGATCTTTGCTACATCTCTACTGTGCACTGTTGGTTTATTTACATTTATATGCTTGAGCATGCCTCCTTGCCACCGGATAGATTTACCAATGCAGTTTCAGACCTGTTTTTTGCTGGGGGAGGTTGGTTTGAATGGATGAATGTGTTCAATGTTGAGAAAAGCAGCTAAAGGTTTTGTTTCATTAAGGTGCAATTTTTCATTACAGGTTTAATATATTTCAAATAATATTGATTTAAACCATAGAGCACATTACACAGGATTAATAATATCAAGTAATGTCAAACAAATTGTACACTCAAATGCTAATGTCAATGTACAAGTCTCAAATGTGGCTACTTCATTTGAACACAATTCAATTCACAAGATATTAACGAAATGCTCTAAAGTTTCAATCATTGTAAACAAATAATAATAATAATAATAATAATAATAATAATAATAATAATTAATTAAAATCTTAAGATATTAAAACAGATTTAAATTTTAATATTGTAGAAGATAATTATTTGCGGTTTTAGAAATTTTTTTTTTCTTAATGATGTGCGGTTTAAGATATTAAAACACATTCTCTTTCTCATACCCTCACCCCTTCTCTCTCACTTCTAGTTAGGAGTGGATAACCCGAATCCAATCTGAGCCCAGCTCGAATTTTCACGGGCTTTGGCAATTATTTTTACAATTAGGGTTGGGTTTGAGTTGAAAAATCTCAACCCAAATTTAATTAGAGTTAGACTTGGGTTGAAGAAGCAAACCAAGCCAACCCAAACCCGAATTTTAATATTATATATATATATATATATATATATATATATATATATAATTTAAATTTTAAATACATTATATATAATATTTAAACAATAATTACTTTTTTTCTTTTCAACTTTCTTTGTTAAATCTTAACTTATTATATGTTAACATTTAGGAGAATTAATTTTTAAAAAATTTGTTTGTAATTTATTAAAAATCTACAAAAAGTCTTTAAACTTATTATTGTTTAATAATAATTTAATCTAAAACTAATTCAAGATCATATTAAATTTTTGATATAAATATTAGCCATATGAGTAACCCAAATTAACCCGAAATTTAAGACCGAGTTGCAAGCCTGAATTTAAAAGTAGAAGAATAGGTTGGGCTTAGGCTAAGTAGTTAAGGTTGAGGATGGGGTTAGGCTTGGGCTTGGGTTTAGCATTTCATATAATGGGTTGGGCTCAAATTATACCTTAAATCCGCCGGAATAGCAACCCTATTATATGGACATATTATTATTACTATAGCTATATAATTATTTTCCTTTTCTTTTCTTATTCCTTAGGTAATAGAATTGGGATAATGTGTAGGATTATTAAAGTCCGTAGAAGGAGGGTTTACGTGAATAATATAAAGGCAGAGAAAAAGAGAGAGAGAGAGAGGGGGGGGGGGGGGGGGGGAAAGAGAGAAAACGCAAAGATAAGGAAAGAGAGTTTTGGCCAAGGAATGCTAAGAGTCAAAAGTCTTGTCCGTTCCCTTCCTCTTCTCTCATTCCCTCCTAATTTTAGTTCACATTTATGTCATCTATCTTACATGGACGTCTTGTTTGCTTTGGTGGGCATTTGATCCGCAATTCGCGAGTCTAATCTGATTCGTGTGGATCACATTGGATTGTTAAACTCATGGATTGGTGGTAAATTCAATAATATGGAATTCGTGGTTCAAGGATCGGATAGCAGATTAGGTTATTAAAAATTTAATCTGATCTGTATTCTAATATGTGATATATATATATAAATTCTAAAAATATATTGATTAATGATCTTTTAAAATAAAATTAGTTGATGACCCTTTAATGGCCTCTAAGAATGTATTAGTTAATGATCATTTAAATATATGAATTAATGTTGATAAACTGATATTTTATATATTGGGAAATGGTTATAAAATAACAATATTAGGCTATTTGGGACAACCCCAATATGTGGATCCAATCCGATCCGTTATCCCACAGATCGGTGGGGGATTCAAATTTTTCCAATCCATTTAGATCGGATTGATTAGGATTGATGCCTAATCCAATCGGATCAAATCCGTGGTCACCCCTAGTTTGCTTGGCTTATTGGTCAAGATGGTCTTCCCCTCTTCGTTTTATCATCCAAACGAATTTGCAATATTTATCTTCATTCCCTTCATTCTTTTAGGGCCTGTAATGGTCAAGAAGACGAAAGCTAAAAAAAATGCAGGGACCGAAACAAAGATTTCTAAACACATCCTAAATAATACTGAACTTGTCCAGAAAAAAGAAAAACATTCCCAATATTGCTAAATGTACAAAAGGGGTGATGAGGACACCAGAAGGAGCGTAGACCGGATATAATCCGCGAATATGGCATCGGGTCAAACAATTAAGTTCAGCCCATACAAGAGCAACGCAGAATGGGCCGAGCCCGGAGGATCCATCGAAGAAGGCCAAGCCCATTGGAAAGAAGGCCCAAAACTGATAGTCCAGCAGCACTTGTAATTGCCTATAAAAAGGCAGTGAAGAGAGTGAAAGGAGGAGGATTTTATTTTTTAATGAGAAATGTGATGAGATTCTGTCCAAATATGGAGAGAAAATTCTTTGCATCTTCAATTGGCACCGTCTATGGGAAACGTTGAAGGTTGATTCTTGTTTGATCAACGTCATGTTGATTCAGATTGATTGGTGACGATGAAGCTTGATTTCTAGAAGTTTAATCTAGATCTAAGAGATTGCGGTTTGCTCTTGAGAAATTCTTGATTCTTGATTGATTTTGAGAAATTATCGTTAGGTTTACGCAGTTGTGATTCATTCTATCGCGGCTCGATCCAGTAAGCTCAGGTGCCGAAAAAGCTCTGATCTATCGAAGGGAGAACACAATTCGTAAAATTTGAGTCCAGATCTGACGTGATTCACGTCAGCGAGACTCAGATCTAACTTAGAATTTGTGATTCATGCCTTCACTCCGTTCTGGAATGATGACTGGGGGTGAGAACTCTAATACGGTAGAGAATATCCAGCAGATGAAACTTGATGAGTTGATGAGCATGATCAAAGCTCTCAGGAGAGAGAATGCAGATCTAAGGATTGAAATGCAGCGTCAAGAAGTTCCGGTGATTCCGCGACCTCTCCCGGTAAGAGAAGCAGTTGTACGTACCGATACGGCACATCACAGTGAGGAGGTAGAGAACAATCAGACGGATCTTCACCGCGAGGAAGTCCGGCCAAACGATTTGCCGCCAAATCCTCGTCGTGTTGATGATCGTGAAGGATCAACTCACGTGGATCCACGGCGTGAACAGATCAGGCAAAACGAAGCCATGACTTTCGATTCACATTAAGAAATGCTCAGCCGAGAAGAAGCAATGGAGTTTGATCGCCATAAAGTTATACCGTCGTGGCACAAAGAGTTTATTGAGGAAAGATCATTCGATCCGACTTATTGGCCTTCCATGGCAACGCTCAACTATCGAAGCTCAGAAAGGAGATCTGTAGATCAGAGAGCAACCGCGAGGTTCCAGAGGGAAAATGAAGCCCTCCGTTCAGCAGCTCGAACGGTTGATTCGCCATTCACCGCTGAAATTCTAAAGGCTCCGAATCCGAGGAAATTTTCCATTCCCGTTTTCATTCTGTTCGATGGGACGACCGATCCGATTGATCATGTATATCACATCGAGTTGAAAATGGCTCTGAAGACTGAGAATTATTCCTTGATGTGCAAGTGCTTCCCTACAAGTCTAGCTGGACCAACGCTTAATTGGTTAAAGAACCTGCCGAGGGGCTCAGTGGATAGTTTCCGAAGCTTGTGTGACCGGTTCATAAGCCAATATTATGGAAATAAACGTCCAGAAAAGGACATTTCGAGCCTATTCACAATGAAGCAGCATGAGGACGAGCGTCTCCAAGGTTTCCTTACCAGGTTTAACCTTACTAAGAACATGGTTATTGAATGTCATCCTTCTACGGCGGTTCAAGCGTTTATATTGGCCATGACTCATGGCATTCCATTCCACACAAGCTTGGTAGTGAATACACCGAAGACTATGGATGAACTTAATGAAAGAGCTGATGGATTTGTGCGCTTGGAAGAAGAAAAGGCAGCTAACGCTCGGAAGACATCCATCATATCAACTGAAGAGAAAACCAAAGCAAAAATCAGACAAAAGCAGGTTCAGCCACAGCGTCAGACCTCGTGGATATCTGAGAAGAGGCCCAGGGAGGAAAAGCTGGTTACTCCATTGAAAGTCACCTTAGCAAGGTTGTACCAAGAAAACAAAGATAAGTTCCGATCTCCTTCACCAATCAGACAACCCCTCGAGCAGAGGGATCAGTCTAAGCATTGTGCATTCCATTCTGACTTTGGCCATCAAACTAATGAATGCAGAACTTAAGGAGACAGGTAGAGATGCTGATAGCTAGAGGGGAGTTCGCAGGTTATATCTGAGGCCTGGCGGTGGAACAGAACCGACCGATGGAGTAAGTGAAGAGAAATCAGAAGCTAAACTCCCACAACTCGCAACCAGCCTGAATAATCAATGCAATTCATGGCCGGCCTGAATGTGAAGAGTCAGATGAATTGTTTCAAACACGGCTCCGCCAGGTGCAGATGAAGAGGATGATAGGCAGTGTAAACACTCTGCACCAACAGAGCACATCAACACAGATAAAGTTTGACAGAACAGATCTATTGCATGTTCAGATCCCTCATGAGGACCAGTTGGTCATCAGTTTGACAGTGGCCGAATGTTTGGTACGCAGAGTTCTGATTGATCCTGGAAGTAGTGCGAACGTCATGCCAAGGGATACATTTGATCGGCTCGAGATCAAGCCAGACCGGCTCAAACCCACTGGGAATCCTTTGCTAGGGTTTGATGGAAAACGAGTGGAGCCTATTGGTACGGTAGAAGTAGCAGTGCATGCTGCAGAAAGGGTTCTGATGGAGAACTTTGTAGTCGTCGAAATTCATCCCTCTTACAACCTTCTGATGGGCAGAGGGTGGGTCCACAGAGTTCAAGGTATTCCTTCCACTCTGCACCAAGTAACGAGATGCCTGGGGCCAGACGGAACCAAGGTGATTGACATTCATGGGGACCAGGTTGCAGCTAAGGAATGTTATTCAATAACGCTAAAATATGCTGGAAAAGGGAAAGCACCCATCCGTTCGGCAAGCCTAAGATAGCAATTACAGGAGCTTCCCCCCAAGCAGAATGGGGAGGAAGAGCCAGTAGACTTGACCGAAGAACCCCTAGTTGATGTATAGATCGATCAGTTCCGACCAGAACGAACAACCAGAGTGGGGGTACGATTTGCTGAGGGGGAGAAACATGAGTTAGTTGATTCCTTATCTCAGAACGCCGATGTATTTGCATGGAGCCACCTAGACATGCCTGGAATCAATCCTTCTGTATCCTGTCACTCCTTGAACGTTAATCCCAATGCAAGACCTGTAAAACAGAAGCAACGAAGGTTTGCTCCAGAGCGTAATCGGATCATAGCCGAGGAGGTTGACAGGCTACTTAATGCGGGATTTATAAGAGAAGTGTATTATCCTGACTGGTTGTCAAACATTGTTGTTTTGTAGAAGAAGAATGGGAAATGACGAGTGTGCATTGATTTCACCAATTTAAACAAAGCCTGTCCGAAGGATAGCTTTCCGCTGCCAAAAATTGATCAAATAGTGGATGCTACTACTGGGTATGAGCGTTTAACCTTTTTAGATGCTTATTCAGGTTATAATCAGATCCCCATGGACTCTGCTAATAAAGAGAAAACTTCTTTCATTACCGAGCGCGGGACCTATTGCTACAAAGTTATGCTATTCGGACTGAAGAACGCCGGAGCAACTTACCAAAGGCTTATTAGCAAAATTTTCAAGGGTCAAATAGGGAAGACTGTGGAAGCTTACATTGATGACATGGTAGTAAAAAGTAAGAAGGAAGTTGACCATCTGAAACATCTACAAGACGTATTTGACGTGTTGAGACAATATGGAATGAAGCTCAATCCAACCAAGTGCTCATTCGATGTGAGTTCTGGTCAATTCCTGGGATACGTGGTTAATCATAGAGGTATAGAAGCTAGCCCTGCCTAAGCAGAAGCTCTGACTAAGAATGCCGAGCTGAAGACAATCAAAGAAGTGCAAACACTTACGGGACGGATCGCTGCATTGAGCCGATTCATTTCGAAATTGTCAGATCGCTACAAACCATTTTTTGACACAATACGAAGCCATGGGAGACAGGTCTGGGGGGATGAACAGCGCCGAGCATTAACTGGTTTGAAAGAATATATGCAGAACCTTCTAGTCCTGTTAGCTCCAGAACCAGGAGAGAAGCTATTTTTATACCTCAGAGTATCCAACATCGCGACAAGTGGTGTTCTGATCCGTTGCAAAGAGGGGAAGCAATATCTAGTGTTCTATGTTAGCAAAATGATGACTGAGGCCGAACGACGTTATTCAAAGGCCAAGCGGGTGATCCTCTCGCTAGTACATGCGAAAAGAAAGCTCAGGCATTATTTTGAATCCCATCCTATCATCGTTCTAACCACTTTCCCTATCAGAATAATCCTGAACAAGCCAGACCTCTCAGGGAGGATGACGAAGTGGGCCATAGAGTTAAGCTCATTTGACATAACATATGAACCCAGAACGGCAGTCAAAAGGCAAGCAGTGGCAGATTTTTTACTAGAACGTGATTTAGAAGACATGGAGGAAGACCTTCGTGGTTGCTTGTGGAAACTCTTTGTCGATGGATCCTCAAATCAGATGGGGGCAGGCATTGGAGTCAAATTACAGACACCAGAAGGCACGTCCCTAAGTCAAGCGCTCCGGCTTGAATTCAGAGCTACCAACAATGAAGCGGAGTTTGAGGCACTACTGGCAGGACTTAAGCTCGCCAAAGAGCTGAAGGTCAGGAATTTGATTATTTTTAGTGACTCGCAGTTAATTGTTCGGCAGGTGAATGGTGAATATGAAACCAAGGATGAAATGATGGAAGCATATCATTCTGCTGTTATGCGAGAGGCCAAAAACTTTGAAAAAATTGATTTCATCCAAATACCGAGGGAGCATAACGAAGATGCAGATCGGCTAGCATGTAGCACCTCGGGTTCTGGAGAAACATTGGCAAGGGTGATTCCAGTAGGAATACTGAACCAGCCATCCATTTTTGAAGAACCTTCGGGCCCAGATCCTTGGCAAGTGAATGTTATTCCATATGCGCCAAGTTGGATTGATCCGATCATAACTTACATTCGGGATGGTACTCTGCCTGAGCAAAGAGATGAGGCTAGGAAAATCAAATCGAACGCTGCAAAGTACGCCATAGTGCATAACCAGTTATACAAGAGGTCTTTTTCTGGGCCGTACTTAAAGTGCGTCACCCCCACAGAGGCTCGGCAGATACTGCGAGCTATTCATGAAGGTGTGTGTGGAAATCATTCAGGGGAAAGATCTTTAACGCACAAAGCAATGACGCAAGGGTACTTTTGGCCAAACATGTCACGAGATGCGGAAGAATTCTCCAAAAGGTGCGATAAGTGCCAAAGGTCCGGATCATTGGTCCACCAACCACCTGAGGACTTGCACGTAATGGCCACACCATGGCCTTTCGCACAATGAGGGATGGATGTGGTTGGTCCTCTGCCAACTGCAAGAGCTCAGAACAAGTATGTATTGCTGGCAACAGATTACTTTACCAAATGGGTAGAAGCAGAGCCATATCCGAGCGTAACGCAAACTCATGTAAGACGCTTCATCTGGAGTAATATTATTTTGCCATTTTAGTGTCCCGAGGTCAATCGTTATGGATAATGGGACTAATTTCGACAGCAAGCAAGTCAGATAATTGCTGGAAGAATATAGAATCAACCAAAAATTGGCAACAGTAAGTTATCCCCAGGCCAATGGACAAGCAGAAATTATGAATAGAACAATTTTCGCTTGCATCAAGAAGAAGCTGGAAGACCATAAAGGGAAGTGGCTGGATGAACTCCCGAATGTCCTATGGGCTTACAGAACGACCCCTAGACGGCCGACCGGGGAAAGCCCATTCGCCATGGCATATGGAACTGAGGCAGTCATACTGGTTGAATATTTGGTTCCTACGATCCGAAGCTTAGCATGGAATCAGGAACAGAATGACAAAATGCTGAGATTTAACCTTGATATGTTAGAAGAAAAGAGAGATGCTACGGCAATAAGGCTTGCATCCTATCAGCAGACACTGGCTAGCAGCCACAACAAAAAGGTGAGGCACAGAGATTTCACAATTTGCAATCTGGGTTTGAAGAAGAAGGTAGGAATGGTTAAAAAGATGATGTCACCTTGGGAAGGACCATACAGAATTACGGAGATCATAGGGAAAGGGGCATATACACTAGAGACCATGGCCGGAAGGTTGGTTAACAAGCCATGGAATGCTACATCTTTAAAAAGGTATTATATGTAGAAAGTTTAAAGTTCTAATTCTGGCATTACTCATTTTTAGTTGTACAGAATTCCGAAATTTATAAAAAGCTATATTCTTCTAAAAAGTTGAGTTTATGGAAACAGCAAAGTAAGTGGCAGCTGACACTATAAGCCGAACGCCAAAAACTTGCCAAAAAATAAAAGAGTGAAAGTGGCAAGTGGCATTCTAGCCGAGCGCCAACCACTTAGCAAAGTAAGTGGCACCTGGCACTATGAGCCGAACGCCAAAAACTTGCCAAAAAATAAAAGAGTGAAAGTGGCAAGTGGCATTCTAGCCGAGCGTCAACCACTCAGCAAAGTAAATGGTAGCTGGCACTATGAGCCGAACGCCAAAAACTTGCCAAAAAATAAAAGAGTGAAAATAGCAAGTAGCATTCTAGCCGAGCGCCAACCACTCAGCAAAGTAAGTGGCAGCTGGCACTGTGAGCCGAACACCAAAAACTTGCCAAAAAATAAAAGAGTGAAAGTGGCAAGTGGCATTCTAGCCGAGCGCCAGCCACTCAGCAAAGTAAGTGGTAGCTGGCACTATGAGCCGAACGCCAAAAACTTGCCAAAAAATAAAAGAGTGAAAGTAGCAAGTGGCATTCTAGCCGAGCGCCAACCACTCAGCAAAGTAAGTGGCATCTGGCACTGTGAGCCGAACGCCAAAAACTTGCAAAATAATAATAATAATAATAATAATAATAATAATAATAATAATAAAAGAGTGAAAGTGGTAAGTGGCATTCTAGCCGAGCGCCAACACTCAGCAAAGTAAGTGGCAGCTGGCACTATAAGCCAAACGCCAAAAACTTGCACAAAAAATTTGTTGTGTGGTAAAGTGGCACACTAGCCAAAAGCCAGCCACTGACATACAGAAAAGAACCAGATCAGATAGCATTAAATCATTAAGTCAAGGGATTTATGGCAAGAGTTCAATCAAAAGTCAGCCATCTCATTAATAATGAAGTTTCAGAGTTACAAAAAAATGAGGTATACAGATGGCAAAATACAAAAGAAAGGAGGTCAGTACATCGGAAAGGTTCTAACTAGAAGCATTTACCCCGTCAACTTCTTGATGGTGCTGAACGGCCTCCTCATCATTGTTGGCTTTACCATCCTCACGGGGAGGGGAATCGAGCTGAATGACATAATCATTCTGCTGAGTTCTATCCTCAATAGCATTGGAAGAATCATTCTGCCGAGGGGTCATCCTCAGCAGCAGTGACGGATGGAGTCAAAGTGGATAGAGGAAGAACGTCCAGAGGTTGAGCAGTAGAAGGAGTAAGAGTGATCCTGGAAGAGGCGATCTCTTGGCATTCATCAAATATGCCCTCAGCAGGGGTGGAGTCTAGGTCGACGTAAACACCCGGAAGATCAATCTCCAGCTCTCTGTCAACCTCATCAGGGGTAGAACCAGTCTGACCCTCATCTGGAACATGATCGGTATAACCCTCTCGGAACCCTTGAGCATATCTAAGGGCCCCAACCCTGGAAAATCGAGCATGTAGAGCTAGCATACCACCATTTACTTTACTGATGGTGTTGAGTAAAGCATTACGCTCGTCTAGAGCCCTTTTCTCAAAGGCCATCCGAGCGGATTGCTCATCACTCAGAAGGCGTAGAAGTTCTTCCTTCTCAGCCTTAAAGGATTCTCGCTCGGTATGCCAAACACTCTTCTTAAGCTGCAGAACGTTCCTTTCGTCCTGAAGAGAGTCCGTCTCCTTTTTTAGAGAGTCCCTCTCCTTTTAAACTTTGTTGAGCTGAACCATCAGCCCGGTATTCTGAGCACCTAAAGCATCGTTCTCCTTGTTTGCTGCACCAAGGTTGTCAGAGAGCATGCGAACCTTGGCATTTACCAGTTCAACCTGTTTCTGCATGGCCATCATCCCATATAGGGTCTGTAGAGATATACATGATAACTGATTAAGCCGAGCAGATGGTCAGAAGAAATCAAATGTAAAGACTATGTAAAGATTTATTGATTGAGGGATAGAAGTTACCTCCATGGCAGATAAGGGGAACCGGATGAACACTTCCTTCTGAGACAGACCCTTGGCTACCTCAATATCCTTAGGAGTCCACATACTCCTGTAGTATGCCATAGCGGTCTGACCGTCCTTGAACATGGTCTCGTCCGACTTTACAGACGATCCGTCTGTTCGAATGAAGTGAGGGTTCCATAATGCCGTTCCAGAGGCAGAGGCATGCCCAGAGGGGGTAGGAGGCCTAGTTAGAGGGCGCACGGATACACTCGGCCCAGAAGGCCTAACCCTCTGTGATAGAGGAACGTCGTCAAGGTTGAGAGCACTATCAGGCTGATGCCGTTTTCCTCTCGTCTTTTCCCATGCGATAACAATAGCAGTGCTGGGAAGGTTGCTGACAGAAGGGGTCACGTTCGGATTAACAGTCGTAGTGCTGGAGATCGAGTCGGTAGCCGTCATGTTCGGATCGGTGGAAGGAGTGATATCAGAAATAGTGGCAGAAGAAGATACTGAAACTGGAGAAGAAGTTGCTGCAAGGGCAACAACGGTCCTGGGGGCAGCTTTCTTCCTATCGAATGAAGTGATCTGGAGCTGACTCATTGTCTTGCCAAGGGCTGAGAGAGCAAGAAGGTTGTCTGAGGTAAGGAGATCTGAGCAAGAGGGAATGTTAGTCAGAACGTACTTCTTCAAATAGTTATCCCTATCCCTGCAAACACCGTAACTCAAATCATCACAAGGAATGCCTAAAGAACGGCATAAGAAAGTACAAAAGCGAGGAACGCAAATCTCGCAAGGACAATCACTCTTATGGGTTTTGTATTTTTTATATGAAGAGACAGAGCACTCTCCAAAAGCGCTCGGGATAGGGAAGTCTTCTGCAGCTGGAGAAAACCAGGCTTCCCTAATCCCAATTATATTTTTCCTCCAACCCTTCTCAGATTTGATTTTATCTTTGCAGATGGACCTCTTCTCAATTGGGTCGAAGTGGTAAAACGGTTCATCAGTTCGGATTTTGCTAACCTTGTAACAAAGGAGAAGATCTACGAGGTCCAGATCTAGACCTTTGTCACGGTTCAGAAGTAACATGACAGATAAAACTCTAAGGAAATTTGGGTTTACTTGCAAAGGGGAAAGTTTCAGCTTATTAAAAACATAGTTAAAGAAGGGATGCAGAGGGAACCTAATGAGGTTAAGATGAAGGTGGGAAAATAGAACCTCGCCGGGAAGAAGGCCAGCACCAATTCTAATATCCACCTTTTTAGGGCAATTTCTAATTTGTATATCGTCAGGAAGTTGAAGTCTCATGCGAAGAACATCTAGATCTATAGTCATGGTGAGAATGAATGAAGATTTTAAGGGAGAAAAAGAGGTCTTCTGAAAGAGAAAGACAAACAGAACTAACCTCAGAGAGTGAAAACGTCAAAGAGTACGGCAAGGTCGCTGGAAAAATGAGCTTTTGTAGGAAATCGCCGGAGAAGATTTGATTCGGAAGAGACGGTAAAGAAGATTGACGTAGCATCCCTGAGGCTTATAAAGACAAGGTGGGCCCGAAGACCAACGATTCGAGAAACCGAGGAGTTTTTTTTTTTAATCTCGGAGCATCGGTTCCCGAATCCAACCGTCCATTTTCCGAAGAGATTTTCTCAAGCCGATAAGTCATGATTAGCAGCCTCTAATAATTACCCCTTAATTAATTAGGGAGTAATTATGGGAGCAGTTGAGGACACCAGAAGGAGCGTGGGCCAGATATGATCGGCGGACATGGCATCGGGTCAAACAATTGAGTTCAGCCCATACAAAAGCACCGCAGAATGAGCCGAGCCCGGAGGATCCATCGAAGAAGGCCAAGCCCATTGGAAAGAAGGCCCAAAACTGATAGTCCAACAGAACTTGTAATTGCCTATAAAAAGGCAGTAAAAAGAGTGAAAGGAGGAGGATTTTATTTTTTAATGAGAAATGTGATGAGATTCTGTCCAAATACGGAGAGAAAATTCTTTGCATCTTCAGGTGAGGAGGGAAGAAAATGGCCACTGCTCGTGGTGAAGCCATTCCTTAAGGTTTTTGTAGCTAATCCTGTTACTGAACCAGTAGTAGCAGCAGCTCTGGGAGGGATTCAGCTAAGAAGATGGTAGTCGGTCCGCCTGATAGAAAGTGTAAATTGATGATCACATTCACACATACGAATTTTATTTCACTGTTTGAAATTGATATGCAAAAATGGGTTACTGTTGAATTATTTTTCTTCGATGTAATCCCATTCACAATTTTAATGCGAATTTCTTTGCATTGATGAACATATAGATCAGCAAAACAGAACACCAAAATTTGGTCCTACCAATTGTAATGAGACACTAATTCATTTGACGACTCTACTTACTATGTGATATAACAAGCAATTGTAGGCTTACATTTGTAATGTGGAGTATAAATGTGTCTATGATAAATTTGAATGACTAAATTGCAAAAATAAATGAGAGTTCCAGTGCTTTTGCTTGTATGGACCACATCGGAAGCAATGGATGCTTGGCCGGAAATAATGAACTGCGGCAACAGAATAATGTTTGACCGGATGTGATTTCCGATGGCGATGTTGGTCTTTGCAATGTCAATATTCCTTTCTTTCCTTCTTTTTTTTTGTTTTTTTTGTTTTTTTAACCAATTTTTTTATGAAAAGAAGCTTATTGTAACAGGTCAGATGTTTCACAGCTCAACCCAAAAGTTAAACTATTAGGTGTGACTAATACTAAACTCATTTATACCCATTTCACTTCCAATCCGGATTCAATGTTAGACAAGACTCTCCTTGTAACACTTATCCTCCCAAGAAAGAAGAGAGGTATATATATACTGCTATAGTAGTGGAAATTGGTTGGTTTGAGCTGAGTAGTGGAAATTGGTTTTTTTAACCAAATAACCACTTACCACTACTATAGCAGACCAGATTGATAAAGCCTTCATTAAAATAATTTACAAAAAGGTGTTAGCATAGGCAATTTAAAAAAGAAAAAAAGAGAACTTCAACAGTTGGTTAGGTCCCAATACTATCAAGGATGGTGAAGTACACTCCACAGAAATACAGAGCACCATTAGAGGGGCAACAATATAAACAGTACAGAGGGATATGATTCTTCATTCCGTAGATAATTTTCGGATTGTTATGTATGGATTCTCTAAAACACGAAAGCAACATTAAACTCCTGACACATTTTCTATTGCAGGACTGCTTGATACATTTTGGTAACCTGTCTCTGCTTAAAAGGGAAAGAAATTAATTTTATTTACCTTTCACTGAAGGTGACGCATGGTAGTAGCTCTCAAATGTTCAATAGAGAGACGATTCCAAATAGAATTTCATTTCTTTTACCAAAAAAAGAACAAAGAGAAATATTATGGATCCCGAGGACCATCGAATGACTGGGTTTTCCTCAAATTCCAATGGAGCCCATCATGGATGCTGCGCAAGAAGTCACTGGTGGAATCAATTTGACATGCAGTTGGCACAGGCCAAGGGGCCATGCTGCACACAAGCGCATCCCCGGGTGCCAACTGTTTTCTGCCTTTTCCATCAAATGATACCCATGCATGGCCTCTGCTATTGAAAGGTATTTGCACTCTAAGTGTTACATGCTCAGGTAATATCAGAGGCCGGAAGGATAAGGAATGTGGGCAGATTGGTGTAAATAGGATAGCAGGAACCTGCAATTTGATGAAATTATTAGAATATGAGACTTTTACTGAGAAGAATCAAGAAAAAGTCATAGAGATGAGTTCTAGGTGCATTGATGAAACAAAACAAAATAATATTGTTATGAATCTGCAGTACGTGGTTGCTAATTAAAGAAAATTTGGGTGCCATTGCTTCACTTTTTAAAAATATGACATCCAATTCCCTCCAGAATAAATTCAAGGGTATCTTTTACACAATTTTCATAGACTTGGTTGAAAAAAAAAAAAAACCCTAAATGAAATCTTTTCAATTGAAAAATATACCCTTTAGACAACCCTTTACTAAAAATAAAAATAAAAAAACACAAGAAAAAAATTGAAAAACAAAAACAGAAGATTCATGCTTATACATGGTTAACCTTTCTCATTTCATTCTGTCTACTTCAGTCAATATCCTTTGTCAAAAAAATCCTAGGCCATGGTGACTCTCCTCTCAAGGCTTCACATATATTCAATTCTCATATTCCAATTGTGCTTGAACCTTGAATTTTAATCATTTTGTTGTCCACATGTATTGTCAAAGTTGAACCATATTGATGCAGGGCAGTAGCGATAAGCTGCTGTCCGGCAACTGTAGCAGTGCAAAACCAAGAAGGAAAAGGATTTCCAAGAATAAAAAAGCAGAAAAATAGAGATAAAGCGACATAATCGAAGTTGGAACGTGGATAGGTGAGTTCTAGGGCAAAGAGACCCTGAGAAACTCTAAATCTGATTTTCTGGAATAAAAACTACATACAAAGTCTCTTAATAGACTATTTATACTAGGGATATAGCAGCCCTAGCATCCTAGTCCTTGATTACTTCAATAGCTAATAAATCCTAGCCCTTCAAAATACTTACAAACTCACATGACTATTTTAAAAGACAAGGACTATAACTATCATTTACCAAATAACATAAAACATAAAAATCAAATAAGACAGAAAATAAGCACCTAACTACAACCCTAAGATAAATAAAACCCAAGCTGTAGCTGGCTAGCGGGCCCAATTAGTCTTGGAGAGCCTTGTAGATGATCCTGGATCACATATCAATCCATGCTAGAGGATATTAGTGGTTGTTGCATGACAATATCATATTCCGCCATAGGTCTCTTGTTGCGAACTCTCAACTTCTCAAAATAGTGAAATTTTTTAAATTTGTAGACTTTTATCCACCTCAATACCCACACCTTAACCACAATTCTCATTGACATTTTTCTTACTTGCATTCTATTTATTTATTTTTTCAAATCAAACAATACTCATAAAGCTAAAAAAATAAAAGAATACACTATTTGTGGCGCGAGAGGAAAAGGAGATCTTTTGAGGAAGAGGAATATCCTATTTGGCCTCTTAAATACAATATTCTATCTTCTTTACTTTTTTGGGTCAATGAGCGGGATTGTAATTCTATGGACCATCTTTTGGATTTTGTGGATATCTTGAAGTTATAGTGTCGTTGTGGATGACTTCTGTTTTCTTTGGGAGCGCTCCCCTTTTGGGTGCCTTTAATGAAATCTTACTTATTAAAAAAAAAAAAAAAAAAAAAGAATAACTACTAAAGAAGAGTTTTGAGCATGTCAGGCACATGTCAACACAGACAAATGCTTGCGACCATAGATTTATTGACTTCCTTGGAGGATGAGATAAATTAAATCCCTTGTCCAGGGAATGGGAGGCCTGATTTTGTACCAAAATGGGGAGGCATTCCTATGGAGTGTTTTACTCGAGGGACTTTAGGTTGTCATTTTCGGAGGGTAGTATCTTCTCACTGCATTGGTTCTCTTTCCTTTCCATTCTTCTTCTCTGTTGTTTTTTTTTCTTCCTCTCCTTTTCAATTACATGGGATTTCCCATTCTTATAAACTTTGTATATTCTTGGTTTTTTTTCTGAAAAATTTGAGGTGCTTCAATTGAAAAAAAAGGCGTTAGCAAGCTAAACTGGTAAGGGTTATGTAGTTTTGTTTATTTTTATTATTATTTTTTTTTCACATGCTCGTTCGAGTCCTCGAATGGCCTTTAAACCAGTCTACATCTCCATCTCCACTAGCATGGGCTAAAAAGAAAAAGGGGGGAAAATAGAAGGCGGAAAGAAAAAAGAGAAAACTTAACAACCCAATACTTGCCATCCATCTCTAACTAAATCTATTTTGTTATTGTTAGAATATATTGTATAGGATTACCATATATATAGTTACCATAAACTGTCGTGGCAGGTAACGCACTACCGCTGGCACCACTGTTGATGTGTCCTGAAGGCTGATTGGGCGGCCAAATAAGGCTTTTACTGATTATGGAGGACTTGAGACTGAAGGTTGGGATGTGGAAGCATAAGTTTGAAGGTTGATCACCGCCGAGGATGGGGATGATGGTGCCATCCCCGGCGGTGACTACGATATACTGGTAGATTATTTACCAGAGATCAAAAAGGCTCTGATACCATGTTAAATATAAAGAGAAAATATTGATGTGTGAGATCTCATAAAGGTCCTATATACAAGAAAAGGTTTGGAGGTAGGTGGGTGATGAACAAGTAACCTATATATACTAATATGGTAGGTGTACTCATATATGGTAATTTATAATATGTAAGAAACATAAAAGGTAGGTAAATGGGTAAACTTATAATCTAACAGTCCCCCTCAAACTCAAGGGGAGTATGAACCCAACTTGAGATTAAACGCGTCAATCCACTCGGGTAAGAGCTGCACCTGCACATCTTAATGATTTCCATTACTATCATGCCCTTGCAACTTTACATGAACCTCATGCTTTTCGTAAGGCCTCTTCTAACTCTTTGTAGCAGCAAGCAATGAAAAAGGAGTTCAATGCACTAACCAAAACTCATACATGGGATCTGGTTAATTTGCCTCCTGGAAATTCTGCAGTAGGATGTAAATGGGTATACAAGATCAAGACTCATTCAGATGGGTTTGATGAGCGCTACAAGGCCCGACTTGTGGCCAGAGGATTCACACAGGAGTATGGCATTGATTTTGAGGAGACTTGCTCTAGTTGCACGCCTTCGCTCTGTTCGCACTCTTATTGTTATGGTCGCTTCCCGTCATTGGAGACTTTTTCAGATGGATGTTAAGAATGCATTTCTCAATGGAGATTTACTTGAGGAAGTTTACATGCAGCCTCCTCCAGGTTATCATCACCCTCCTAATAAGGTATGTCGACTCTGAAGGACTCTGTATGGCCTTAAAAAGGCACCTCGAGCTTAGTTTGTTAAATTCAGACAGACTATCTCTCGTAAACTTCCTCGAGTAAAAAGATTAATGGTAATGCCTACCAGCTGAAGTTACCAAGTCATATTCGCACATCAGATATTTTTAATGTCAAGCATTTGGTTCCTTACAAGAGCCATTCTGATGAGGATTCCGACAACTCAAGGGTGAGTTCATTCCAACACGGGGGGACTGATGTAGATGTGGACCCAGCATAAAGTTTCCTAAAACATAGGGAACAACCAAAAAAGGAAAGAAGTGGAGGGAAGACAAGGAGAAAAAGGAAATTATTGAAAGTTTTGGTTTGTTTCTAATTTTTTCAGCAGCTTTAAATTTTCAGCAACTTTCTCAGCTTTCTTTATTTTTCAGCAACTTTCCTATTTTGATTTTGACTTATGTTGGAGAATATTATTATAGAAACCCTTAATTTACTCCTTGACAGAATATTGTTAAGAGAATATCATAGGAGAGATTGTAGCCTATGAAAGAATACGGGATTGATTTTAAGAATCCTCCACCATATTTATCACTTGTATCCTTTCACCTATAAATAGAGGCAAAGATCAAGAGACCATATAATAAAGGTAATGTAGCCCTTTGGGCTTTTTGTGTCTTTCCTTGTGTTCTTCATGTTTAATTTCTCTCTTCAACTTTTATATCTTTCAACATGGTATCACAACAAGTTTATCATACGATTCATACCCTACTCTATCCTTTACTCGTCTCGGATCTACGAATCAACTCGTCTCAGATCTGCTCATCTCATACTCTCCACAATTTCATATTTAGTTTCAAGTTGGACACTTGAGAAAATCTTCGTGCTCCAACTTGAGGGAGGGGGGGTTGGAGAATATTATTATAGAAATCCTTAATTTACTCCTTGACAAATTATTGTTGTGAGAATATCATAGGGGTGATTTTAGCCTATGAAAGAATACGGGATCGATTGGAGTAATATATGGGATTGACTTTAAGAATCCTCCACCATATTTATCACTTGTATCCTTTCACCTATAAATGGAGGCAAAGATCAAGAGAGAATATAATAACGGTGATGTAACCCTTTGGGCTTTGTGTGTCTTTCCTTGTGTTTTTCATGTTTAATTTCTTTCTTCAACTTTTATATCTTTCAACAACTTATATATGGTAATTAGCTAGTCTTAGGTTTATATAAAGCTTTGTAATTTCTAGGGTTGGATCAGTTTTTGGAGTTGTAGAGAATTATTTTACAGCAAATAACTTTTTCTGTTCAATTCTCCTTTCGCTTTAGTTCTTTATTTTGTTTCATTATTGCTGTGAAGACCATTTAATCGTATCCTCTTGGTAAGGCGGCATCATTTAAGGATTGGGAGATTGGGGAGGCCATTCGCTTTTTGGAGTTGTTGTATCGCCAGGAGATTGTGGACGGAGTTCCTGATTCTGCTGTGTGGATTCCTTCTTCCCAGGGTCGCTTTAAGGTTCGGTCCTTTGTTAGGTGTCTTATGGAGGTCCAGCGGATGCGTTCCAGAAGGCTATTTGGCATTCTAAGACTCCTCTCAAGGTGGCCTTCTTTGCTTGGACATTGGTATTGGGGAAGATTGTGACTCAAGATAATCTAAGGAGGAGACAGGTTGTGGTCAATTGTTGTTGCATGTGTTTGAGAAATGAGGAAACAATTGACCATCTTCTTTCGCATTGCCCATGGGACTGTTGGGTTATGATGCTGACTTTGTTCGGGGTCCAGTAGGTTATGCCCAGGTCTTGCAGAGGTTTGGTTGAGG